CAAATAATACGAATCTTTCCACCTATCTTTGACCTTTCTACAGGATCACCAGTACCACCGTAACCCTAGCAACTATGACTCATTAGATTTCTTCATTCTTGGTGATGAAGGAGAGGCCAACAAAGTTTAAAGAGTTTGCATTCTCAGTCTTAAAACAAGGACAACGCAAAATAAGTTAAGTAAGGTAGACAAGGACAAAAATTGTTACCATCAACGAGAACGTATCTTATAAGAGAATGAAGAGGAAGAGGGAAAGTGTAGAAAGTAACATGCAACTGCTGTAGCAGAGAATGAGAGCTCTCCAATGTTAAACAGTGAACAGGAAGGACAGAAAGAGAGGGGGAGACAGAGAGAGAGAGAGAGTGAGAGAGAGAGAAATGGAGTGAAAACTTTTGTGCAAATTTCAACTTTTGCCATCTTTCTACTGCCAGCAATATATCAGTACAGTTTGCATCTCCTATCCAATAAAAGCTAATGACAACGATGTGGACACAATGCAAAACCTGAATCCCACCAGTAACATTCATACCGGGACGATATCGGGTTATTTCCCCGTAAAAAAGAGGGAGGGAGCATTCCGTCGAATTTCTAGTCATTTTTCATTAATTAGACTTCCATATGAATATGTGTCATTATTAATTTCTTCCTCTGAACAGTTTTTTAAAGTTGGGATAATAGAAATTTTTGTTGTAATTAATTCTGCCAAGCTTATTCTCTTTTAAATAAACGGAATAAATGCTATTAAATATGTTATTTGCATTGCTATTAAATAAAATTATAACTTTAAATGTTTAACTTTGAATAGCAATTGATGAAATTTATGAAGATAAAATCGTTATTTGTGGTAAAATGCGACAACGTTTCATTATGACTGGAATACTTGGAGTTGTTAATTATAGAACCTTTTTTATCAGTGTTATTAGGAATGAACAAAACGTATAAATGTTGTAATATTATCAAATTATAGTCGTTATTTGTTTTAATATTCGACTTGTTAAATTACCATTGATGCCTCCAATTTTATCAATTACCCACATGACCCTCATAACCTGATAAGGGAGATATAATGCTATGATGACAGGTTGTCAGATAGTACCACTGAATAGAAATATTCCGTTACAGATGTTTGCTCATGGAATTGATAGAAAATAATCTAACGGTATTGTTGCAGTGAGAACGAAAAATGAAAGTAAAGATATTAATGATAATGCTATTGTAAATTTAATCACTTAGTAATTTGTTGTAAACATCATATCACCATAAGATAGAATTATTTGTGCATGATCGATGATCGCTATAAGAGGATTATTTGTTTGTGATTAATGATTGCTGTAAAAAGATTATTTGTTTATGATCGGTGATCGATATAAGATCATACTATAACAAAGGTTTCTAGTACCAGATATATTTATCATTTAATTTAATTTATTATGAATGTTAATTGTAAGAAAAATGGTGAATTCTAAACGAAGAAAAAACTCGGCAACTGTTTTCATCAATAAATAAATAAGGCAAATAAAAAGGAATGCTTTATTCACTTTATTAAATTCCATTATCGAGGGCAATTAAGGAATGTTTCCCATATCGCCTAATTTTTTTTTCTTTTTTTTCTTTTTTTGTTTAGTCTGATAGCTCGTCATGTCATTGTGATAATGCCAAATGGCGATACTGGAGGCTTCATTTATCTCTTAACAACTGTCCAAGAATGCACTCGAAAGTGGTATGGTATCATTCTGAATGGTTAGAAGAGTTGTATGTCACAACATATATGCATGAATGAAAATGGAATCACAAATAATTCTAACAGAGTATAGATGACCACACTATTGACCTCCAAATAAGATGTTGTACCTTTGGATTAACACGTTTGCGACTATAATTTTTCGGCTTGCACGACAAGCTTCAATAATATTTTGTTTGCTGTAAGGCGTGCACTGGAAGATATAATGATTGCATTGTTGGACATGAATAACTTTAAATATGCAAACGATTATAAAATTGTCGCGAAAAAAAAACAAGCTAATTAGGTCAAATAAGGTTTTTCATAATTATAATTTAAATTAAATGTTTAAGAAGGAATAGTTTTCAGTATGATTTTTTTAAACGCCTTTTGTAAATACAAAATAAGGCCGAATTGACTAAAATATATGAACTTTTGCAAAAGACGATTTCTAAATATTGTCACCCACTCGTACCATCGTAATCATTTAAAGCTTAAACATGAAATTCATTTTGCAGTAATCCGCTGCATTACATAATTGCACCTCGAATTTCATTCACTAATTATGATTATGGCTTACTTGAAGGAAAATAATGAATATTCCATAGTTGAAATATTATCATATGCAATATCATAACCAACAATCGATGCAATAATTTATTATAACCATTATAATCAGCTAAATCTACAGTCTGTCATGCATTATGCATCCTTCATTTCGGTATGTATCAATGATTTTGAAATTATATTTCTACCTGTACTAATATTTATTAACTGAAAAATAATTTGCCGCAAATTTTTAAAAGAAATCTCCTTCTTGAATAAATATAAATACAAATTACAACTGCAGAAATTTTGTCTAAAACGTTACATTTTGGATATTAATCGCTTTGCAAGCGTTTACTTTCATCAACGCTCTTCAACAAATTCATGTTGTTCACTTTTCCGGCATGATACATTTCTTTTACAGTGCGTTTCATTTCCTTTTTTTTTGTAATAAAACTACAAAACCTGTTGTTGTTTCAGCCCTAAAAATGATTAAAAGCCTGAACATTGTTTCCTATTCAAATAACGATACTTATAGTAAAACTTGGTTAAAACTAAGATAGTTTAAAATTAAGATTTTCTCATTTATCCTGAACTCTAACTTTTTCTTTTTTTCTTTGCTCACATCCTCACCAGTGCTTTATTCTTTGACCTTGGTTATTGGAAATTTGAACTCATAGACCAATTAATCG